CAGGAGCCCATCAAATGGAGCCTCCATCTCCATTAATTTCTTGAGTCAACCCTTTCCCGAGTAGATTTATAAATAGAACGGCTTGTTTCCCGCGAAAAGTGTCATATTTCCGTGAGTCTCGTATGTCAGCGTGAAAAAAATGAAGTTGGATGAAGTCGAACTCAGAAGCCCGTCCTTCGACCGTTTTCCTTTTTTACTGTACTTCAATTTTTACAATTTTACAGCCGCTGGGATCTGGGTATCATAAAATAAAAGTTAATGAATTACCCGACTGAGACTGAGCATGAAGCGACAAAGGCATCTAACTGGGGATCATGGTAAGATTATCTTTGCGAGTGTTTTTTTTTCTCCGTCATGAATCCCACATTCAAGCAGGCACCTTGAAAAGAGTCGACGATTAAGCGTTCTGTGGACGATTTGGAACTTTTCGATGATCAGCGTCGAAAAAGTACCGGGATCATTTGATTTTTGTCATCACCGTGCAGTGGATTTCGCCAGTGCAAAAAAAGCGATGACCTAAGGAGCAACTATAAACGAGGAATGCTTCAGTTCCGAAATTTGAGAAATTGCAATCTTCCTTTACAACTGACTTGTATCACCATGAGAGCTGCCTGATAAAACTGGCACTTGAAAACTTGAACAGAAGACAACAGTTGCTCGACCGTGAAGCTAACTCAAAAGTAATTTGCTTACGGAGGAATTTGTGACATCACGCTACAGTCCAAAGAAAAACAAAATGGATTGCATGTATCTGCGCCAAAAGAATTATGACTGACGAACAGGACAATTCTCAGCAGTTAATGTGGAAGTTTTGGCTCAATTCTTTCCTTCGAATTCGCATCTGTAGATCACTATTTTGCGAGAAAACATTGGCTGGGCCTGGTGTTACAAAACATAGCAGGGAATCATCACACTAGCTGACGGACAAAACAACCACAAGGACTACAAGTATTTATTCAGATAAACGCATTTCGGAAAAAAAAAACCTTGAAAAACTAGAAATTTGATTAATATTGAGTCATTTAGCCGAAATAAGAACCTAACGCTCAAAAAAACGAATCCTGTCAGAACTGCAGACTGCAGGTAGTAGTTAATCATTATACATGTAACAGACAAGCTTCAGGGCCTCTTAATGTGAGACAAGCAACCAAAATTAAGATTAACATAGTCAGGGTTTAAAACTCTCCACAGTATAATCTACCCGCTAGAAAGAAAAGAAAGAAAATCTCTGAAGGATGAAAACGCTAAAGTCACGTTTCATTAGCTTATGATTGTGTTTGGCTTGTCAACACCGAATTTCCTACTGTTTGATTAAGTACAATAGCAGTGTCATTTCGTCGTTGTGATTGGCGCTTCCCACCGTCGGCGCGCGAAGTCTCCCCTGGGAACCGTTCTAATTATAAATCTACTCGGGAAAGGGTTGACTCCAAGGGCTTGTATGGGAGATGGAGGCTCCATTTGATGGGCTCCTGAATTTAGTCAAAATCATGTGCCCAAACCTCAGCCAATGGCAGTCCCTGTTTATTTGAATAAGAGTCGAGGAATATGACAGTTTTGTAATGTGATAATCCTACCTCGGCAACATCCGCTGTCCAGTTGTAACTCGCAGCCACAACAGTCCCATTGTCATTCTTACATATTGTCAGTCCCAATGGTGACAGGCGGTAAAACTTCTCACACTGCTGACCGTTCTCTTGAGCCTGTTGAATGAGTAGGTTGGTTGGTCTTGGGTCTGGGCCACTCTCTACTTCTCGAAAATCTCCGGTTTCACGCCCAGAGGAGAATACCACGTAGTCACTTCCGATGTCAATTTCGTAATACGCTACGTAATCTGGGTTAAGGTCCAGTCTATAGATTGGACGAGTGGGTCCAAGGTCATCGGACACATTAACTTGATTAAGATTTCTGTAGTCATCAATGTCACTGAGTTCTATTATGGAGTCAAAAACCTCATACGGTAACTGTATGGCGGTTATCCCGGATGCCAAGGCGATGGTGATTAAAAATGAAAAATAAGCTTGCAGGCTTTTTGACATCTTACCTTGAAGAGTAAATAAGTAAATAGCCGTTAATTAAAAACACTCAACAATCGACGTGCGGCTTTCTTCCTTGGAGGCCGAGGCTTCAACGATTCAGGCACAGCGTGATACGATAGTGAGCCCAATTTATGGCTTTTAGGAGGGGCAAAACCCAGATCAACTTGAATTGTAATTGTAAGTATTATTTGCTGGCTGCGTTTAAATACAACACAATGTACAAATTTAGTAGCGTCGAGGCATACTAAAAGAAAAAAACAGACTTCTGGTCGACGTTCGTCGCCTAAAAACACCTTTGCTTAAAACTTTTTATTAAAGCAGCAAGCAGCTCAGTTCAGAGGATTTTATACATGCAGCAATGTTGATTCAGGGGGACTTAAAATTAGCGAGTCATATAAGTTATTGTAGATTTTTTTCGTGTAACTATACACGCGTATAGCCTGCGACCGCAGACGTCAGTGCCGGATCCACACCTTGAGATAGGTTGGGGGGGGGGATGGGTGGTCTATGCCAAGAATTTTTTTGGAGAGAGGAAATAAGGGGGGTCCCTGGATCCGCCACTGGACGTAATTCCGGTCGTCGCTAACACGCGTAGTAAATCAATTCAGAAACATTTCGTCGAATATGATGTAAAAAGTAAATATCCTGAAATACTCGACCGTCGATAAACTAAAGTAGAAGGTGAAAAATGTTTAGCGAGTAAATCCTAGAAGGTAAAAGAAGAAAACTGGCCACCAAAAAGAAGTTTTGAGCTGGATCTGAATGTAGTTAAGCATAATCATTTCGATAACAATGGTATTGTTATCAAGAGACAACGGCATTGTCTCGAAAAAAATTATTTTTTCCTGAAGAGAAAATAAAAATTGAAACATTTTTTTAAAGAAAAAATGACTACCTGAACTCGAAATTCAAAAACACTATTCAAACTTTTCCGCTCAATTAAATTTATTCATTTCACGTTGCTGTCGTACCACGTACACATTTTTGTTTCCTTAAACCGGCCCCCCCTCTAGAAACGTTTTCTGAATCGATAAAAGAACGCCTAACTAACTGCTGGTCTAGGATAACTCTGAACTGCATCAACAATGTTTTTTATTGTTGTGATTTACATTTTGAATTTTCAGAGGATTAAGTTATTTCAAGGAAATGCGATGATTAATTTGCTACATTGAACATTTACTTTTTATCAGGGTCAAGTGGTTTTTGAAAAAGGTTGTTGTAAACTTACCTCATCTAATAAGCTACACTGAATGAAAGAACTCTGTCGTACAACCACGTAGCGGCTTTCAGGATTATTCCAAAGTTCTTCAGTCTCATATAAGTAAAAGATTCAAATGCCTATATGGCTTGGTCTTCAAGGACTTTTATATGTTTGGTCAGTATACTCTAACCAAAAGAGCACGTGATGCGGTTATTCCCAATTCTTCCTATGTTTTTGGCATTATTTAATATTTGTTTATGCAGCGACACTACACGCTGATAACCAGTTAGACTGAACGGAATTAGTAACTAAGGAAATAGCCACAAGCGAAAGCAAAACCACTAACATTGTCGCCTAGGCTCAAACAAGTCACGTTTTCAAATAATATTATTAAAAAAACCGCAGTGATTTAACGGAAGACGTATAGAACGTGCTTCGCTTTCAGAATAATTGCTCATGCCAAGAAACACCAATTTCGTTCTGAGAGTCTTTCGTCTTTTCTGTCCTTACAATTTTGACCATATGCGTGATCCGCTGTTTAATTGTCCAACTTTGTACAAGAAGAGGGAATAAATTCTCTGCGACGCGCCCTTTTTTTCACAACGACAAAACGATCTTTGACTAAGCAGCCTTTGACGCTACTTATGAGAGAACGTAAGAAATTACAAGGACTCAAAGCAAAAGTAAATGAGCTTTGAAACTTCATAGTACTCCCAGTGGGGGCGTGGGGAGGGGGGTACTCCCTTACTAAAGCCATGTATGTATGTGCCGCCTAACCGGGTAGGGTATTTGCGTCGTTTTGGTCTGAATACACCTTGCCCATTTTGGTCTGGAATCGGGTGTGGTTTTCGAGGGAACTACAGAGTGTATGAACGTATTTATCTTTACAATTCCAAATGAGTAAGAAGGAAAGAGAATTTTTCTCACATCTCATATTCCATACAGTAGGTGACAGTAAAACACTGCTTCGGTTCGATTTACACAGCTTTGATCTGAAAACATTCTCAGTTTCGAGAATAATTTATTCTCAACCATAAGAAAAGATTCAATTAGAAGTTGGAATTTTTTCGCTATTTCTCTTTTACTCTTTACATACAGTTCAAAAATAAACGACTTTTCCTTCGGAATCTTTACTTGTCCAAACTAGTTAAGTGCGAGCGCGCAAGATCAGAAAAAATTTACTTTATCCCCGGAAGGACATCGGTGAGCATAGGGAATAAGTCAGCACAGAATTTGATTGTCGGCGAATCCTGTAATCGTCCTTCGTTTGGCTAGTTTCAGGCTAGCCGTTGATTTATTCGTCTTGCTTGTTTGGGACTGTGTCTTATTGCCCCAAAGAGAGAGAAAAAGTGTCTGGAAAATTGTTTCCAATCAAAGATTTGTGAACTCTTGTCTGGCAAACTCTTCAATTGTTTGTATATACACAATTATAATAACCTTATAACTTCATCTGAGCTTAACTAGTGTCTTTTGGTCCATCACTTTGGGGGGAGCAGGGATGGCGCAGTGGTGAGAGCACTCGCCTTCCACCAATGTGGCCCGGGTTCGATTCCCGGTGTCGACGTCATATGTGGGTTGAGTTTGTCGTTGGTTCTCTTCTCTGCTCCGAGAGGTTTTTCTCCGGGTACTCCGGTTTTCCCCTCACCGCAAAAACCAACATTTCTAAATTCCAATTCGATCCGGAATGCTCGAGTGTTTAATACATGAGCCCCGGGCTCGGGAGATTGGGCAACCACTCCTCACGCTGTCAAGCTTAAATAAAATTAATTTAATTTAATTTAATCACTTTCAAAACAACTGCTCCACAGAATGTCCCGATCACTGATAACACGTAACGCTAAAGAGGATCGTAGTATGCGGTTGCAAACAATAGAAACGTCATCATTGCCCACCGATTCCTCGCGGCCCCTGTTCAAGCATTTTTTCTGGCATACTGACTGTATATTTCAACTGTTAGTACTTTCCTAATATACGCGCGAATTACTAGGGTGCCTCCTCGGGATTTCGCCCAGAAGGATTTCGTCTTCTGGGCGAGATCCCCGCGGGGGCAATTATATGGCCTGAGCCATTGATTGATTAAAAACAAAAACTGGTGAGAGGATTACTCTTAAAAAAAACACGTCTCCTCAGTGAGTTGTACTCTTGTTAATAATCATTTTGATATCGATGGGATTGTTATCAAGAGACCACGGCATTGTCTCGAAAAAGTTATTTTTTCCTAGAGAAAATAAAAATTGAAACTTTTTTTAAAGAAAAAATGACGACTTGAACTCGAAATTCAAAAACACTATTCAAACTTTTTTGCTGTATTAAATTTATTCATTTGTATATATTGCTGTCGTACCACGTACACATTTTTGTTTAGCCTTAAACTCTCTAGAAACGTTTTTTGAATTGATAAAAAAGCCTAACTAACTTCTGGGGTAGGATATCTCTAAACTGCATTTACAATGTTTTTTACTGTTATGATTTGCATTGTTTTTCCTAATTCTTCCCATGTTTTTGTTTTGTTTATGCAGCGACACCACACGTTGATAACCAGTTAACTAATTCCGTTCAGTCTAACTGGTTATCAACGTGTAGTGTCGCTGCATAAACAAATATTAAATAATGCCAAAAACATGGGAAGAATCAGGAAAAACCGTATCACGTTCAAAAAGGGGATATGTCAAGCTATTTGCTAGCTTTTTAAAAAGCTAAAACCTGTCTTAGCATCAATTCGCAATTCCAAAATTAATGGTTCAGTTTTGTTATTTGAGGCTATATGTTTAGTCATTGAAATTGTTTCCCGTTGTCTGATGCAAAGAATAGCAAGGATTGACATGGACTGAAACGTAAAAGTTGGCAATGCTGTAAGGCTATGCCTTCAATATCACCAAAAATATATTATGGTTAGCGCTCCCCGATGAAATCTGTTTAATATCTTTTCCGTACTACTCTACAGAAGCATTTTGTCTATGGGTATAAAGGCACAAAGTTATGACTTTAACACAGAATTGACCTAAAACAGCAGTATTAAATCCTCGTGTCATTAACCCCTTTTAAGTTGCACGCACAAAATTTGGGGTTAGAACTTTTATACTATAGTTAGTTTAATCCATGATAATAGCGAAAGGTAACTTAAAAATTCCAAAATTGATTTTTTGTTATGTTTCAGTTCGATCGAACGGTGAAATCGCTCACTTTTTTTCACCCTTCCGTCAAATTATGTTTCTGATGTGCAAAGTCGAGACGTCGGAGTGATATCTAGTTGTTATTTTCGGCTTTTAGCAATAAAATACGTTGGAACCTCAAGCTGCGAGGAACATATTTCTTTTCACGTGTTGAGTCCGTAGCATAGCCACAAGCGAAAGCAGCGAAAGCAAAACCACCAACATTGTCGCCTAAGCTCAAACAAGTCACGTTTTCAGATAATATTATTAAAAAAACCTCAGTGATTTAGAAATATTACAAGGTATAGTTTTAACGGAAGACGTATAGAACGTGCTTCGCTTTCAGAATAATTGCTCATGCCAAGAAACACCAATTTCTTTCGCAGAGTCTTTCGTCTTTTCTTTCCTTACAATTTTGACCATATGCGTGATCCGCTGTCTAATTTTCCAAGTTGTACAAGAAGTGGAAATAAATTCTCTGCGACGCGCCCCTTTTGTTCACACCGACCAAACCATCTTCAATTGTTTATATATACACAATTATAAGAATCTTTTAACTTCATCTGAGCTTAACTAGTGTCTTTTGGTCCATCACTTTTAAAGCAACTGCTCCACAGAATGTCACTGATAACACGTAACGCTAAAGA